CACGTCCCTCTTGCCAGCCCAATGGTACTCTAGTCTAGGCAATGACCAAGAGGCAAGATATCAAAACTATTTCAACTCAACAAGTGAACATTAACTCTAGAATTAAAGCTCATTGCAAAAGGGTTGTCTTTTCTCTGCTATATCCCCAAAATCCGTACGTGTCATTGTGCAGTAAATATTTGTTAAATGAATTGATAAAAGCTAGTCAATAGAAATAACTTAAATGCCCAACATTAATGAAATTGCTTAAATAGCAATCCATACAGCTATTATGCAACCATTAAAATGCTTATTTGTAAAGTTATTGATATGGAGAAATATTCGATATCAATTTTCCTTTTAATGGAAGAAATAACATTTATTAAGGTAACACACAACCTCTTGGTGGGTTTACGGATTTTTGCTTTGTGTGTGTGTGTGTGGTTTCTGATTGCTTTATTATTAAAATTTACTAGAAACTTATCTTTTATTTTTTTCTTTAGGATACATCCAAACCCAACCCAGATAGGTGATAACTATCACCTAGTGGGCATTCGAGAATAATTAAGTATGAAACGAATGAACCCAGGAAGTCACAGGAGGGAAAGCATTTGAACTGAGTTCTAAAAAAGAGTGGGACTTCAACAGGCAGCGAATAAGAAATGCATGAGGGAAACCGCAAAAGATCTTAGCAAAGGAACAGTCTAAAATTGAGTCGTTAGTTCTGCAAGACACCAGAAATGCGGACAGGACGGAGTGAGCAGGAGATGCAGAAAAAACCTAGCGAACGCAAGTGGTTTCAGAGCGTTCACCACGCAAAATGCCACCAGACGGGAGAGAAATGATAAAGATCATAGTAAAGATAACACACACAAAGGAATTCAAGTTTGGAAAGGAAAGAATAAAGTCGTTAAGAAAGCCAGGAAGATCAAGACCCAATTGCTCTTCACTGTTCTCTAGGTGCCAACACTGAAGACAGCAAAACTCAGGGCAGCAGACAGCGAAACAGCACCTCTCGCAGGCGGCCAACGGTCTCGGGAAGCAGCGTGAAGAAGCGACCTGGCGTGAGAACTACAACTCCCACTACAGCCCGCGGCACAGGGACCCTTCCGTAGTTCCGCTTCTGCCGCCCGCCCTCATGCGCCCTCTTCAGTCGAACCCACACAGGAGCCGGCCTGGCGCGTGACCGCGCATGACCCCGCGTGACGGGGTGCTCCGGCCGAGAGGCCCCCGAGGCAAGGCTCTGGGACCCATTGGCAGAAAGGCGACCCAAAAAGGTGGACCTGAACTTGAAAATCTCGATAATGATTGGAGTTGATGGGACAAGGGCGGAGCCGAACACCCGCGATACTGGCCAATCAACGTCCGGGATGATCTGGGGACCGGGAAGGGGAAAGGGGTGAGATGGATCCGTGATCACGTGCCCCGGGGTCTAGTGGGAGGAGCAGTTGCCCAGTGGCCGCCTGGCGCTTCCTGTTTCCGGTTCCCAGAGTGGAGCACCGCGAGGCGCTGAGGGGAACGCTGGCTGTGACACGAGCTCTGGGACTGGGGTCTGTGGCTGGCCCCTCGCTGGCCCTGTCTCCCAGCCCCAGACAGGTACTCACCTGGGGAGTCTGAGCTTTGGCTACTCCCTTTGCCCGTGACACGTGAGTATTAGGGGCTGGAGAGCGCTCACACCTTGGCGTCTGTGATAGGGGCCGAGATCGTTAAGTCTCCCTTGTCAGGGGTTCTAGCCAGAAATCCAGATAAGGAACCCTAGAACGGAGGCGGAGGCTTAAGGGCCAGTCTTCACAGAGTCCCAAGGGACGTGAGGAAGAGAGGACCTCCAAGACCAGACTGGGAATTGACGTGTATTGGGAAGGCAGGGAAAGGAAGGTCGCTAGGTATGGAGTGCGTTTGAGGAGTAACTGGACACTTTAAAAGGAATTTTGGCCTGCATCGTGGAGAGAGGTAAAGTAGCATTATCTGGAGAGGGTATGGCCCTAAGCAGTTGGAAAGTTAGGAGACCAGAATTTCTAGAACCCTGAAGGAAGTTTAAGGGGGATGAGTGTAGGGTATGGAGAAGAGTAGCTAGTTGAAGAATTATTGTCGTGTTCCTCTTTGTAGGGAGCTTCCACTCTTGGGACATAGAGCTACTTCTCAGGCTTTTCAACACTGGGCCTTTTAGCTAATTAGGACTGATTTTCTATAAGTGTAGGTTGCCGGAGACAGGAGAGAAGGGACGCTCCATCAGAAATGAATGAGAGAGATAAGAGTGGAAATTTCATTGAAAAATGGAAAACGCTCATGACTAGTCTTGAGGGGTGAGGAAGTGAATGGTACAGAGTACCCCCGTGATGTAAACTGCTTCCCAGTTCCTGGTTTAGTCATTTGTCATGCCACTGAGGAGAATTTTTTAGCACTACCAAATGGATCTATCATTGAACAAGAAAATTGAAGGGAATTTTTCAAAATCTTACATTCCTGCCCCTTGTTTCCAAAGTACCTAGACAAACTCTTGCACCTTGAGAACCTAATTGTAGTACATTAAAAAGGAACTACCCAGCCCTTGGATTTCATACTCTTCCTTATACATTTTTGCACCCCTGTATTTATCAGAAAACTTTCAGCAAATATCTTTGTGCCATGAATAGTCCAGGTTGCCTCACTAACTTCATACCTGTTTAATATTTTTATAATCTAGGGCGAGTAACCTCTGTAAGCATCAGTTTCTTCATCTATAAAATGGGAGAAATTACACCTACTTTTCTGGGTTGTGAAGATTAAGAAACATAATCTAGATAAAGCACTCAGAGCACATGCCACTGAATTGAAGAAAAGCAACTCGAGCATATAGCCAAACGTTAAGCTGGAAAGAGAGAAGACTATCGAAGAATATTCTCATTCTAACTTTTTGAACCAATAAACAAATGAAAGCTAGCTCAACTCAACTAGTGCTGACTGCAAGGTGTTTTACCCTTCATCTTTTCTCAATTTTGTTTTAGGAAAAGAAATCATCAACTCTTAACAGATAAGGAACTAACTTTGAGGCCAAAGAACACAGCATTCTGTGTGAGCATCCCTCCAGAAAAACTGGTCCTGGAAAAAAAATCTTGAAAGCCCAGAAAGCTGAAATTTTAATTTAGGCCCTAAGAAAATATAAGGAAAATGGCATGCTAAATTAATCGAATGAAAGGAGTCTCTTCTTTTTAAGTAACTAGTCTGGTCAAGTTGTGTGTTGAGCAATGAGTTAATTTAAGGAAGATAGAAGTTTGAGGTCTGAGTTCTTTGTTCCATTTATTCAGTGAACTGTGTGAGGAATCACTTCCCCTTCTTGCTTTGTCAAAAAGAAAGCAAAACTTTGGCTGTCTGCTCTGATCCCACAAAAACTGATGTGAAAGGAGATATACATGTAGTGGAGTATATAGACCATGAGCTCTGAAGTCAGACTATCTGGTTCACTCTACTAGCTCTATCACAATTTTCTTATCTGTAAATGGGGTCAATAACTATTACTGCATAGGGTTATTGTAAGAATTGATTTATGTATGTTAAGTGCTTCAAACAATGCCTGGCAGAAGGCAAGCACTCAGTGTTTCCTATTAGTGTCTTAAATGTGTTTATGGGGGCCTCAGACTTTTTGGCTGGCTATAAGTAGTCTGTGGAAACACTTTATTAATATTACTGTAGTGAATTAATGTTTAGAGTACCCAAAAGTCAGGGAGACAACTTCCCAAGCATGTGTTGTCCTAGTGGAGTATGGGAACCATAAGGTCAAATGTAAGTTCGTTTAGGGGAGTGGAGAAAATTCATTCAGGGCTGAGAGCTTCCATTTTCCTATCTTTAAACTTATTGGTACTCATTAAATGCTGCCTATTTCAAGTTTTACATTCTAAAAATACAATAGAGTCAATGGACAGCATGGAAAAGAAATAGAGGACTTTAAAGAGTATTGGAACCAAAGTTCAGACTTGTAGTACGGAAGCATTTTATTATAATGGAGAAAAGTTTGGAAGAATTAATTCTTTGTATCAGAAAAATTAGTGATACCATTACATTATGAAATTAACAAGTAGCAATGGCCTGAAGGGTCATTAATGATATCAGGGTGAAGGCTTTTTGCAAGGGTGGATTAGAGAAAAGAAAATGAGTTTGGGAAACAGGGCCATGTGTTTCCTAGAGCAGTACAAGCATCAAGTCAATTGGATTTACTAAATTGTACAGTGACTTGGTGATTCTCAAGGGATGTCAGCAGTTTGGAGTATAGGAAGATCCTATACTGGAAATCCAGAAACTCTTGAGCTTCGTGACTTGGAGCCTGCGGTGGGTTTTGGAAGACTTCTTCAAACCACTCATTTTGACCTAGTGAATTTTCTTTTTCCTGTAATTTAAATGATCGAGTTATTTTTCAGAAATGAGACATTAAAATGGATAATGTCGAGTTTGGGTGTTGTGGCTGTGTATCTTGATTCATCATTCTTATGGGGAATATGAACGAAGACCCTGGGACGCTCCTGAATAATGGAATGAGAAGTCAGGGCCCAAAGTCATCATGTCTCTTTCTCTATTTTTACATCTTTTTTAGTAGTTTCCAAATAAACCCTATCAAGTGTTAAGTTGTAATCTGCACATTATGTTAGGGAGGGCCACTGGTTTAAGCAATATATATGCATACACTTCTCAGTCGTTCCTTTCCTTTGTTTACAGCAAGTTCCAGGCAGAAATCCCATCCCTCTGGGCCTCAGCTTCTTCCTGTTAGATATGTAGCCTGCAAAGTAAGAAAAACAAACAAGCACGCAAGCAAAACCTAGTCGATCCTGCCAGTAGCATAATCTTGTGTCAAAGATTAAGCCGTACATGTCTAGGTACACGGGAGTGGTACAGTGAAAACTGCACAAAGTTTGAAGTATTAAACTTTAAATAATAAGATAGCGCAACCTAACTTTTCACCAAACAGTAAAGAAGTGAGGATGTCTCCAATGAGACTGTCATAATTAACTAATTCTTTTTTGTTCTCTCCTTTCGCTCTTCTCAACTCCATGGTGTGTCTGAAGGACTCACCTATGAATTAGACTGAAGGTTATATATCTGAGCTTCCTGGTGCGGGTGCTCTTGGCACAGAGACATCGAAATGTACTATTTGTTGCATATGCCAACGAATTTTATACTTTCTGCATAATCAAAATACCATCATCGGTGGCACCTAACTATTCCTTAGGCCATTGGTTACTCTTTTGTCAGTTTCTAGAACAAAAAAAAAATGAGTTTTTCTCTTAGTAGAGCTGAGGAGTTGGTAAACTGCCTTAGAAGTCGAGGTATTCTTGTTCTGTGCACACCTTGCTAAGATTGACCACAACCTATAGACACTCTTTAAGGCCAGTGCCGTCTTCTTCGTTGAGTGCATGTTGTGCCCTTGTCCTGAAAGGGCACAGGAAGGACAGGATGTAAGCGACAGCTTCAGGCAATGGAGTCAGCTAGGACGAGGCTTTCAAAATAAGTTTTGAGAAGAAAAAGAGAAACCTAGAGACTTAAGAATCCAATTCAGAATATTAAAGGACAGGAAAAACATAATTTGGATGAGAGCTAAAAGCTTGAAATAGACATAAGAAGATAAAACCCAACTTCATAATATTGAAGAAAACCAGCTAGTATAAAATAGGAGGTGATGGATGGAAGATAAAATGTTTTTTAGAAAGTAGCTTTCATTTATATGCTCTGTCTCTTTCTCTTCTGTCCTGTTCCTCCCCACCCCCTTCTCCAACACACACACTCTCCCAAAAAGGATGTTCCCCTTCTACAGCTGCTGGAGGACTAGATTACTGCTGCTGCTACTGCTGGCTGTGACGGTGAAAGAATCCTGGCAGGCAGAAGAGAAAACCTGTGACCTGGTAGGAGAAAAAGGTAGAGAGTCAGAGAAAGAGTTGGCTCTACTGAATAGGATGAAACCACTGTATAACAAAAGGTAAATGAGAAGAACGTTAAAGGGTTTGAGAAATAACTTTATTAAAGAATCTTTTCCTCCTCTTACTGATTTTATTTTGGTATTACTATTGATTATGGAAGAAATACATATATAATAACCTCCTCTTTATCTGGGATAGCTGGTCCTATCTTGCTTTTATGATATAGGGCAAATTCTTGCCCCAGTTCTTTGTAGCAATGTGCAGTTCTCTTACGCAGAAGAGTAGTTGTTTCCAAGACTGGATCCAAGAGACCAGCTTGTAGGAATTTAAAAAGCGTTATTTGATGCCCCCGTGTGATAAGATTTTAGAAGTATCAGATAAGTGTATGTAAGCCTGTATACATCATCAGAAGTGACAAATCTTCGGGTATGAGATCTCAAGATGCTCTTTAAGGTACCAGGGAACATAGACCCGTATTCACAGGGAAATGGTAGCTAACACTTTAGCATAGTCTAGAGCAGGTATTCTAGGAATATCTAGTCGTGGGTGGTATATTTTAATTAGTCATCAACAATTAGAATGGTCTGTCAGGGTCATGGATAGCTTATGATTCAACAAGTATTATTCACTGTTAACATTTAGTTTTGACATCACATAAATTAAATACACCTTTGGGAGGGCGGTAAAAGGAAAAGAGGCTGCTCTTCTAAGGTTGATAACCAGTAACTCTCCTCTTCCTTCTTTCTCCTTACGTCTCCGTACAGCTTTGAGAGCACTGTGGGCCAGGGCCCAGACAAGTATATGTACATATTCAGAGTGTGCCGAGAAGCTGGCAACCACACCTCTGGGGCAGGCCTGGTGCAGATCAATAAAAGTAATGGGAAGGAGACAGTGGTGGGGAGACTCAACGAGACTCACATCTTCAATGGAAGTAAGACTCTCCCTGTTGACTATTTGATCCTATTAATCCCTCTGACGATCCTGTATGTCTTTCCTAATCTCTTCAGAATATCATGTGATATGTGTGGTTCAGCACACCTGAGACTATAAACCACCGGATACTTAGTTCCACAGCTCCTCTGGAGCCAAGGCTCAGGACATCATGAAAAGTCTATGCAAAAAAAGAATCTAGATGGAATTGTATAGCCTGGGGTCCCTTTATCCATTTCCTGTTTGCCCCAAGAATACTCGCCAGCGGTGCTTGCCGCTGCAGCGTTTACCCAAGATAACTCCAGATTACAGTCCTAATCTTACCTCCAAAGTTTGCCACAAAATATCTCGCTTTTATTATTTTCGCGTCACTCTAGTATATCAGTAGTCTTTGGAAACAAATGACATCATTCTATTTATAGCATTCTGTTTTTAACAGTGATATTTCCATTTACAAAATATAGTAATTCTCGAACACTGAAAATGTCAAATCCTAGAAAACGTAGCATTCCTACACATGACATTAACATCGTTCTTGAACAGTTGTTAGCCAGAGATTCATTTGATGAATCCAATTTATGTATACATTTCTGTTATATTAGAATTAGAGACAAGTTCTGTTTAGAAATAATTCCAAGAATAGTTTTTATATTTTATTTTCACTTTGAAAACTAGCCAGATTTGCTTCAGCCTCAAAGAGCATGTTTATATAAAATTAACATTGGCAGTGAGCTGCACTTTTTTTTTCTAAATGGGAGATGGGTTAATAATGAGTTTTTCATTATTTTGAAGCTAGGCTTGAAAATATTAACCATCATCATTTCTCATCAAATTAATCACTTTGCCAGTTAAATTTTAAGATCAAGGTTTACAAACTATTCAGTCTACAAAAATTTCCCTACGAAGTTGTGATAATGATGGTGATAATATTTCTCAAAAATCATAAAATCTTATTATTGCTGGAAAGGACTATGTGAGTACCTAGTCTAATTCCTTCCCTTCAGCAGATAAATAAGTATTGCCTCAGTGCAGGCATTTGCTCCTATAAATAATAAACAGTAAAAAAGTAATGTAAAGAATGTGGGGCTGTGGGTCAGAAGACTGGATTTTTGACCCAGATCATCACATTTACTAGTCCTGTGACTGAAAAATCATTTCACCTTTTGACTTTAAGTATACACGAAATTGGAAGCAGAATCCTTTCCTTACTCACCACATATGACATGAATCAAGTGATATTTTGCAAAAAAAAATTGAATACAGTAAATGCTGAAGAAAAAGAAATGCCTCCCAATCTTAAAATCATCCATTTTGAACTTATCTATGGCTAATTTAAATCTTAGGCTTTCCCCCACCACCCAGTAATTGTATGGAACCTCTTCTTTTGATGTTAGCAGGTGTTCAGCAAATGTGAGTCATTGTTGAGGTATGAATCATAATTGTTTTTGCACTATCCATTGCCTTCCTTTAACATGGGGAATTAAGATCCTTATATGAATATCTATATGATTCTTAGCAGAGGAACATAAAGCTATTGTAAAAAAGCAAGTTTTACCTCGATATATCTCGTATACAGAATTTATTCTGATGAGGGTTATTTTAATTAAAACCAATGTCACTGTACTGTTGTACCCAATTCTGCCTCTGCTTTTCCCCCACCCCACGCTCCATTTTCCTTGTCCCTCCTCAGGTAATTGGATCATGCTGATCTATAAAGGGGGTGATGAATATGACAATCACTGTGGCAGGGAGCAGCGCCGTGCAGTGGTGATGATCTCCTGCAATCGACACACCCTAGCGGTGAGGCATCCTGGGGCATGTGAGCCTAGAGAGATGAAACGATTGACCTGAGGTGGGAGAGACTTTCCAGAGGGGACGAGATACATTGAGACGGACAAGAGAAAACTAGAAATTCTATCTTTCCCTGTGGCAGACACCCATCTTCTAACATAAATGAAAATAGGTTATTGAACCAAAAGAAAGCAATTGTTTTTTTGGGTTTGGGAGTTTTTTTTTTCTTTTTTTAGATGGAGTCAGAAGAAACCACTTTACCACATAAATGTTGTGTTCTGTCTTTTCATCATTAGGACAATTTTAACCCTGTGTCTGAGGAGCGAGGCAAAATCCAAGATTGTTTATACCTCTTTGAGATGGATAGTAGCCTGGCCTGTTCTCCTGAGATCTCCCACCTCAGTGTGGGTTCTATCTTACTTGTCACGTGAGTGCCTTTTCCCTTATCAGTCCAAGTTTTCTCTTTTTTTTAACTGATAATTTCTTGTATATGGGTACAAATTGTGTATTTTTATATGTGTTATAATTCAAGGGGGTGAACTTCGTGTGGAAAACCCTCTTTGAACTCTGACTATACAAATTTTTTAAAATGTGAGATTTAATATTTTATCCCCAATAAATATTCACATTGGAAGTGGTTTTTTTCTCCTGCCTGAGGGCTGGGCAGTTTTTAAACTATCCCATTAGATTGTTAGAACTTTCAAACAGAATCGTGTATCTAATGGTGACCATTCTCAGCAGAACTCACACTGCGTCTTTTTCTGAGCATTTTCTCAGACTGACAGCGCTCTTATTGGTTTTCTAAGGAAGCTACCAGCCCCCTTTTTCTTTAATATAACTACCTCCCCCCACCCACATTTTACAGAACACAACTTAGGAAACAGCTAACAGTGAATACAGATGACCCTTAGCATCTGAGTTTTACTATTTCATGGTTTTTAAGATGGATCTTTCTTCTTCGACAGGTTTGCATCTCTGGTTGCTGTCTATATCATCGGGGGGTTCCTATACCAGCGACTGGTGGTAGGAGCCAAAGGAATAGAGCAGTTTCCTCACTTAGCCTTCTGGCAGGATCTTGGCAACCTGGTAGCAGTAAGTAACAGGGCAGCTGGCTGAATCTGTAGCCTGCTTACAAGGTTGAATGACCAGCCATCCCGCTTTGCCCAAACTGAGGGGTTTCCTGAGACATGGAACTTGGGTGCTAAAACCACAAGAGGCCCAGCAAACCAGGACAGATGGCTGCCCTAGCACTAAGCAGCATAGGATCTTACTGTCTGGCTTGCTAGGACTTGGCTGGAAGAACACTGTTGCTTAGATTTAGGAATCTCATACAGATATTAAGGGGCCTAGGTGGGAAGAAGGTGAGGCCTAATTAGAATTTTTCTCCTGTTTCTCCCTTGGAGCTTTAGGGTTTTCTCTTCATTATCCCTGGAGGAAACTAGTTCTTGCCACATTCTTAGACCATAAATATACTTTGCTTTACCCTAAGGTTGCTTATTCCAAATGATCATTTCCTTCCTTTGCCTCTTTCCATACAGGATGGTTGCGACTTCGTGTGCCGTTCTAAACCTCGAAATGTGCCTGCTGCATATCGTGGTGTGGGGGATGATCAGCTGGGGGAGGAATCAGAAGAAAGGGATGATCATTTATTACCAATGTGATTGCACTTTAAATGCCCAGCTTCTTCAGCCCCCCGCCCAGACCAAAGCATACTCAGCCAGATTTCTGAAGCAATCTCTCTACTCCAGTCTCTCCTCTCACCCTTAATGTTGCTCTTGCTTTCCAGTTTGCTTTTGGTTTGCATCCTCTTCTCACTAGTTGATATGCCTTCCCTTTTTCCTTATTTTTGGTTTTTCCTCAAGAGGTAGAGTTGTAGGTCAGAGGTTAACAGGGCCAGTGACAAGAGGCTATTGCACTGTCTTGGTACAGGAGGGTACAGTTAGGATCATTTTAATGAGCAAAAGCATGTGGCAGGCTTGCTGACCCTTTTTTAAACACATTTTCACAAGTTCTTGAGACACTGGATTTCTTTAATTAAAAAAAAAAAAAAAAAGGAAAGAAACATTATTTATACAAGGTTGGATTGCTTTCATGCTCTTACTCTGCACCCTCCAGTAGTGTCCGTGAGAATCTGGATGTCATTTTTTGCTGCTTGGAACTACTTTGCAGTGATCTCTTGGTTGCAGTCTAAGTACTGCCATTTGGTCTGAGCCTGGAGATGTAGACCACCTCTGGAGTTAAGATGCGAAAAGTGTGAAATTTCCCAATTAGAGGATTCTAAAGTACCATCCCATCATTCGTTGGCATTGGAGTGACTAAGTTGGAACTAGGTCCTGGATTTTGTTCTTTGGTTGTTAGTGCATATGTAGCCAAAATGCCTAATCTAGAAGTCCAATCTTTTACAAAGGGAAATTGAAAGCGTCCTCCACTTTGCAACAGGAGTTCCGGAAAAGGGAAATTTACCTTGCAGTGGGATCTCCTTGATGGCTGTTCCTTCCTACTCGTAGTAAAAGCTGGCAAAGCTTTTCTTATTCCTGAGATGTTTCCCGCCACCAGTGTTTCTAAACATGTTGCACTTTCTTCACAGGCATGTCATTTTGACCTTTTTATTTCCAATCTTCTGGAAAGGGAATGGAGGCAGAAGTAGGACATCTAGGGCTCTGCCATCCTCTGCTCTGGGTATGGGATGCTGCTTCACCTGCCCCTCCTTCTGGCTCAGGGAAGTGTCATCTTGCCCACATTTCTGTGGAGAGGTTTTTAATCCTCTGATGCTTCTACCTTTCTATTTAGGCCACATGCCCCAAAACCTGGCCTGATCTTTAATAGTGAACCTGTGCCATTGAAGAGCAACATGGCTCCACTAGACACAAGGGGATGGAATCAATAGATAGGGGCCTTTTATAGCCTTAGAGAAGAAAATGAAATTATTTCATCCTTGGACTTTAAAAACTATTGGAGTGATTTCTTTTTCTTTCTAAACAGGGAAAATAATGTTATAAAAGCATCTTTTTTGTTATTTGTTTGCATTCCTCCCCCACACTCTGGTGTTTTAAAAATGCAAAAAAAGAAAAAAAAAGGAAACACTTTTTGTACAAAGACACTTGAAAGATTAAAAAAAAAAATACATGTTGGCCTAATCATTTGTGTGAAAGACATTGGATTGGAGTAACAGACAACTGAGACCAATTTTTATCCTTTTACTGAGGAGGAAAAAAATATTTAATATTTTTGTTGTATAAGGAATAGCACCTAAGGCAGGTATTTATACTCCTGACCTCAGCCCCACGCACTCGTTTCATAAAGCTATAGGACAGAGCAGAGTTGGAATTGAAAAGAAAGGGTAGAAAGACAACAGATAGATTGGAAGGGAGCAGGGGGATGCAGAAAAAATTAACAACAGTCACATGTGCCAAACACTTTTAGTCCCTGCAGCAACTCAGAATGATGCCAACCAAGTCCCTACGCTGGCTGGTGAGCCTGCCACAGATGCAGGAGAAAATGTTCACTAGTATGGGAGTGAGTGACAACAAAACGGCCATAGCTACAGTCAGACAATCCAGAGGAAGTCCCAGTTTTTGCTACTTGTGTCACACAAGCTAGAACCCTACCTCTCCCATTGGGGAGGCACACCTACATTCCACCCATTTCCTTGCCTTACCACACTGTATATTTCTCTTGGAGAACTGAGACCTTGGCTAGACACTCCAGGGCAAGGTTGAATAGTCCTCATTCTCTAGACTTCTTTTATAAAGACTGGATTGGAGTAGGTGAGAACTGTAAAGATTTTTGAAAATAAAGTAGAACCCAGAGGAAATGTCAAAAGCTCTGCCATGTAGCACCAGCAACCGTTTCTCACACTTTCCTTCCCTGTCTCAGTGATCCCCTCCACAGAAGCTTTACATACTGGAACAGTCCTTTATTCCCTGTAAAATCTGTGGGACCAGGCTGTAACCTGGACAGTGGGGAACTCCTGCCTTAGGCTGCTTTGTGCAAGAAAGCCACCTTAGGTCTCCTTGAGGACATTTATCTTGGCGCAGATCTTGAGGGCAGGGCCCAGCTTGATGTTCATGGCACTCATAAGATGTTCCTCTTTAAGTAATAAAAGGGCCTGTCCATCAATCTCCTGGGAACGAAACTCCTCTGCGATCTCTTGGCAGCCTAAAAGGAAATGGTAGGAATATGTATGAGAAAGGACATGGTAGCACCAGAGGATAAAAGTCGAAAATTAAAGATGAAAAAACAGACCTAGCAATGGTTAATCCCAAAGTATGTGTCCCAAATTCAGTAATACAAAGGTCTGGGATGGCAAGCTTAAAAAGCAAAAGGAAATCAGAGCAACTGGCTAATTAAAAAGAAAAAAGTGCCAAGATAAAGAACAAAGTTGTTCAACTACAGAAATAACTTCATTCAAATAGCTTGGGGGTTAGGGGGCGAGCAAAGATGATTTCTCTGACACTGGCAAAAAGAATTAAACTTTTGTGACACGTTTAAGGGCACAGAATTCAGACAAACGGCAAAAAGGGTAGAGTGATTTTCTTTTCTGGAGAAAACCATACCTTTGTCAAGAATAGTTTATAAACAATCCTACTTTGAAGAGAAGCAGGCAACAATGGCGCCTTATTTCCTAACCCCCTTCTTTGAAAAAGTATTTTATCCATGCTGGAACTGTTGCTGATTGAGGGTCTCACAATCATAAAAAATATACTTTGTATCCAAAAATTATTAACAATAAATAATAGCTGAATCGTAATGAAAGTGTTTGATATGAAAACCAAACACTGAAATTGCTGACACAGCAGAGGACAGTCAACCCAGAAGGAAACTAGGAAACCAGGCTGGAGGCAAGTAACTTGAATAAATATCAAAAGTAGAGCTTTCGTCATACCACATGGGCCCCTTAGAAGTCAGTAATGTTCCCTGTTACCTAGGCCCAGGTGGGATGACCTAGGGAAAACTAAGCATGCAGGTGGCCTAGGTTCTACTGGATGGGCCCACAGTACCTTGTAGAGAAGCAATAAACTCATACACCTCCTCTACACTCCAACGGCTAGGATTACTGGACAGGAACACAGGGTTGATGCCATGTAACTCTGGGGTAGGCGGGGCTGTATTGGGGTTCCCCAGGTCTCGTTCTCCATGGCCAGCTCTCACTGACAAAGGCCCAGGAGATGTTGGAGAGAGTGCTTCATCATAACTGGAATTATCTGAACCCCGGCTAGAGTCCTCTTGACCCTATAAAGAAAATCGAAAAACAGTAAGGTCATGAATAACAGTGTTTCCTTTCCTCTCCCCAACAATCCTGAGTTTGGGTTAATACTGGGCATAGAGGAAAAACCGATCTTACACAAGTGAAATAATTTGTACTTCATTTGCAAATGCCCAAAGTCACCTGTCTACTTTCAAGCGCCTTTCAATTATACACTATCACTTTCTCGAGTCTTCCCTTCTGCCGACGATTGTTCTAGATTTTCTCTAATAAATATAGTATAAAAATTAATGGATACATGAACCAGTAATCAGATGAGAGGGGACCGAACAGGTCAGGATCTCTTGGAATTCTCACTAATGCAATCGACGTGAAACCAGTTCTGGTCTCATACTCTTTAGCCCCATTTTAAAGGTCGCTGGCGCTGCGACGGCCGCTCACCCGGTGGCGCTTGCCCTGAATCTTGGCTCGGGCGATGTCAGAGGAGCTGCGCCGGGGTCCGCGCCGGCGGGCACGAGCATAGTTGACTTCTTGAAACTCTTTCATTTTTTTCCTCTTCAGCCGGAACTGGTGGCTACAGCTCACATTATACCTACAGGTCAGGCACATAAGGATGTCAAAAGTGCTACAGAAGACTACCTGGCTACCCTGCGCTAAAGGTAAATTGGCATTTTAAGAGCTGATTTGGGGAAGACAATGAAAGCAAAGGAGACATTAAATATCAGCTGTGAGATGATCCTAGGGAAGGGATGGAATATTAGATGGAGGAAGCAGACTGAAAGCAAGGAGGTGTCCACAGTACCTCTTAGCACAAGTCATGGAGCAGAATCTCTTGGAGCCGCGAAACTGCTCTGCAGGGGCGTACTTCCCACAGTACTCGCACTTCAGGAGATTCGCCTTCTTATCTAGCTCTGAAAAACAAGGTATCACTTGAAAGCTGCCATCAGTTTTTGCTGCCACTCAAGTCATCATTAGGATCAGAGCTCGACTCTAATTACTCTCAGGGTTTGTCCCTAGAGACCTCCACCACCTAACTGAAAATCCCTAAAACATAAATTTCAAATTCTAAAACCATAAAGGCATGTCCCTCAAGGATATCACAGTTTTCCTACCCTTAGGCTAGACTATTTCCATTTTGATGACTAATTTTATCCTAATTCATACTCCCAGATTTCAGACAAAACTGCATTTCTGAACAGGAGAGAGGAACTGATTACTAATGCCTAAAAAGATATTCCTCTCCCACACAGTTTCCAAAAGCAGGGGATAAAGTATAAATAATAAGAGTTTTTATAATATAGACTATAAAATCTAGAACAAGGAGACCTGGAGATTAAGAAATATCTAATTTTAGATAATCTTTCAAAAAATATATCCTTATAGTAAATAATTTAACAGGTTACTTTAGCTTGAAAAAATTCCCCCTAATCCTATGGAATTCCTTTTGTGTAATTCTAAATATTCTGATACATGTTATGGTTTCTGTGTCTTGACAGACATCATATAATTCCTACTTTAAACAGATAATTACTATTTTACACTGAATCCTCAAACACATCTCCATGACCCTCCTTCCCCAGACTGGTCTCTAAATAAATACTTACCAACAGATGGGCTGTCCCCTCCCAAGGGGCCACCTGACTGATTCTCATTCAGACCTGTCGGGAGGCCAGTCTGCAGTGGCTTCTCAGATTCTTTCAGTAACTGAGAACAACCCACCTGTCCCAGAAAAAGGTTTACAGTTAAGTCAGCCTAATTCCTTTCTGCTTCTCTATAGCTTTCCCCAGCATTTCTCACCATCATGTCTTTGCCTGGAACTCCTGAGTTAAAGGTCAAGTCTGGTTCAGAGAGGCTCATTCTCAATGTGGCAGTCAAGTCTCTAACTGGCTTTTTTCAGATAAGCCATTGGAGAACAGTTTCCTAACCTGGCTCCCTAGTTTGTCCTTTTCCTTCCTAAGTTGAGGGAAGTCACTAGAAGTCAAGATAGCTGTGTTCTAGTTCTGCAAGTCAGTACCTAGAAAAGTCCATTAATGTCTCCAACACAATTTTCTTCATTATAAACAACCCAGTTTGTGTAAGTAAATATTACAGCTTTAAAAGTCATATTCTTCCTTTTCTTTTTTCAACATTTTCCTTTTCCCTTCTTTACAACTCACAAAATAAACAGCAAAACTGAACCATTCTCTAATAAATAGTTCTGAGCCTTTTGATTTTAATGGAGACAACAGTCAGATCAAGATCCCCTTTAAAAGTCCGACTTCATGGCCCTGCCCTCACCGGGAAAGGTTCTGCTCCTTCCTGGATAACAAAGCCTTCAATGATGTGGGTGAGAATCTGGGGCTTCACAATGGCCTGTGGGGGTTTTGAGTCACCCATCTGTCTGGACACCATTGCTAGAGTAGGAGGTGGTGCCGATGGGGCAGGAGCCAAGGATACGAGTTCACCGCTTGGGGTATTAGCATTCACATTGGTCATTGGTTCACCTTTCTCTGGAAAATAAACACAAATTCAGGAACAGACATGGGATAACATAACTGACCTGTCTGTTAGCCAAGCCAGCCTGATTTTCCACAATACATATTCACCTTTCCACATATTCATCATTCACCCTGGATTCCAATTCTGAATCTACTCATTTGTCCACCAAGTTCAGACTCATATTCTACTGAACCCAGATTTATCTTTTAGCTCGCTCACCCAGAACATTAATCTCTGTGCGCTCCAACAGCACTGCAGAGGTAAGTCTCTCACCTCCAAGACTGCTCTTCTCCTCCATGGCCTTTGGGCTCTCTGCTACTGGAGATGCCTTGGCAGGAAGCATTGAACCCATTGTAGAGACATCGTCTCTCTCCTCCTCAGACTCTGCCTTGCGTTTGACACCCAATGTCTGGGGTTTGCCCTATAAAGTGAAGAATGAGAAAGAAATCAAGATTTATGAATGAAGATAAGGAAGCACAAATATCCGTATTACTTTCAGAGAAAAATTTTCTTAGTTCCAGATTCCCCAATCTGTACTTTCCAGGGTACATTAAAATTCCCAGTCATGTCCAAGAAGTGTAACTTCCACATCAGGACAAAAGAAAATGTAACATTAATTCATCCTTAACCTTGAGACCCTGGGATCATTATGGCTCAACCAAGAACTATTGTTTTTCTAAAGACTGTTTAGATGGTTTATGTTATCTTGATCCAACTCAGTACAGATCCAAAACCCAGAATGACTTCAGTACCACATTTAGAAGTATGAAGTTCAGATTTTATATACATTTACGTCTCTCTCACAAAAGGAACAAATAAATACCAGCACCTTAACTTTCCATTAATCTCTCTCTACTCTTCATTCCCCTACTAAGTTAAATTCTATTTCTACTCTGCCCCAGGTTCACTCTCAAGAGTGACAGTGCCCTCAAAACATCAGACATCACTCACCGGCAGGTGCACAGACTGCATGTAGAAGGCAGCAGGGACCTGGGCTACAACAGGTGAGGAGGTGGTAGCCCCACCCTTTACCACATGTGCTGTCCCCTGCACAGGAGCAAGGGTCATCCCAGAGGCCAATGTGGGAGGGCACTCCTGCAGTGTACCAGGAGCCTGGGATGAAGGTGGCGAGGAGGAGGCCAAATGGGACTGGCCAGGCTGCATTGTACCTGGCATCCCCCGGGGAGTAGGTACAGCAGCTGCCAGCTGTGCCAACCCCAAAGCCTGTGCCTGGGCTGTACCTGGCTGTCGGGTGCCCACAACTTGCACAGGGATATGGGGTGGTGGTTGCTGGGTAGCTGACATCTTAGCAGCCCCCAACTGAGGAGGTTTGATCGGTGCTCCAGGTGGTTTGGATTGGATGGGAATGGGTGGCTTGGGAGTTGGGTCGGGTGGGAGAGACAGAGGTGAAGACTGAAGCATGGGTTGAACAACCAGGGTTTGGGCTTGCTGCTGGGACTGGGAAGGTGGGACCTGCTGAGTAGGTGGGACCTGTGGTGGCTGAGGGGCAGAGAGAGCTGTGGCTTGCTGCTGCTGCTGCTGCTGCTGCTGCTGCTGCTGTTGCTGCTGCTGCTGCTGCTGCTGCTGCTGCTGCTGCTGCTGCTGCTGTTGCTGCTGCTGCTGCTGCTGCTGTTGCTGCTGCTGGGCCAACTGGAGGTGTGTGGCTGTGTGGAGTAGCTGAGACTGACGGTGCTGGAACTGTTGCTGATGGTGGATGGCAATCTGCTGCTGGATCACCACCTGTTTCTGCTGCAGGTGGATCTGTTGCTGTTGCTGAATCAGGGAATGGGGCTGGATCTGTGTGTAGGTGGCTATAGGAAGCAGCCCAGAATGGAACAAAGAAGAGCAGAAAATAATCATCATTATAAATTAAAAGTAAAATCATCTTTCCAAGGTGTACCTAGTTTTGGAATCACACAGTGAATGAAAATCTAACCTGGAAGGACCTGAGATCACCTCATTCATACTCTCCTCTGAGTCCAATATTACCAGATCTTACCAACTATCTCTAAAAGATCTCAAAGAAAGAATGCGCTTACTCAATCACTTAACGATCTCCTGTAATTTCTTATATTTATCTAACTTTTACTGTCTTTGCTATACTTAAATCCTGTTACTTTATACTCAGGAAAGTAAGCTGGCCCATCCTCTGTATGACTGGACTGAGTTCCTCAAGGCTGAGTCCATGTTTTATTCATTTTCACATCCCTAGAACCCAGCCCGGCACATCAGATACACTTAATAGTCACTGACAGAATAAATATCCACAGAGGTAAAAATTCCAACATCTTCCCATAAATGTCACCATTTTTAAGACTCATCAGTTTAGGTCCCCACCTATGAGAAGTCTTAGGAATCAGCAGCTGCAGGCTCTGACTTTACCTAGTTTCCTCTACCAAAAACCGGAGTTGATGATCTCCCCGCTCCTATTCCACCAGACTGTCCAGAGAACATTATGTATATGAAAGCATTTTGGAAACAGAAATGCTTTGTACATAAATACTAAGTTATTAGCAATACAACTGATAAGTAACTAACTTTTTGTGAGTTAATTATCCAAATTTAGCAAGAACTAAAGTGCTAGAAACAAGAAAGGCAAAAATAAACATTTTCAAGTAAGGTACACACATCTAACTATATCTAACAATAGCCTGAAAGCAAGTATAAACGATTTTGGGTTATTATATTATTCATTTTTATCCTTATTGATATAGATGATGACAAGCTGACTATATCAAACCATGGTTCTATTCATCAGTCCTTAGCACTCTAAGGCACTTATACTGTCTGTGCTTTATACTGGGCCAACTAACCACCATTAGACACAAAATGAAGAGAGAATTCATCCCTTATGCTAGATTGTAAGCTCCATGAGGACAGGGAATCTGTTTTTCAAAGGTGTATCTCTAGCACCTCCTAGAACATTGTAGGCAATTTGAGAAGAACTGGGTAAATGAATGGGTAGAGTGAGTAAACTAAAGAACTCAGGGCCTAAGAAAGAGAGGACAAGGCAACTTGTAGACTGAGTTTACAAGATCTATTACCTGTTCTCCCATCTTCCTGGCCTAATATGATCAAGGCTGATGTGACTCTCCACTACTCCAGGACAAAAAGAAGCAGGAAAAAAGGCAAAGAAATGTACTCTAAAGATTTCAAACAATTTCTAAGAGAATAATGACATTATGAAAATGACCACTCACCTGAGCTAATAAGGGTCTGGCTAGGAGCAGGTGTAGCTGTCCGTGTCAGGTTCATGCCCACGTTCTGCTGACCAGTCCCATCTGCTTCTGCCTTCTTGGCTGCCGCACTTTCTGCTTCAGTCTGGCTTCCCTGACTCACAGTCACTGTTTGGGCTGCAGGCAAGGGCTGCACCACTCCTGTGCCCTTCCTGGGACAGCTCCCACCACCACCCATTCCTGAGGAAGGCAACTGACCCATGCCCCCAGGTGCCTGGCCACTTCCACCTGGACCCATAGACCCTGGGATGCTATTCCCACTGCCTCCACCAGCTTGACTAAGGTTGAGGGACTGGCCTGAGGCCGCAGAGGAAGCCTGAGCCACAGCTAGGGCCTGGCCAGAGGCTTGGGAGAGGCCAGAGACAGGGGAGGCTCCGGGAGGAATGGCCTTCTGAGTAGAGCCTTGCATTTGAGGTCCTTGGGCAGAAGCCTGTTGGTTTCTCACAGCCAAGTTCTGCACCTGAAAGATAAGAAGAAAAAAGTAGACTGAAAAAGGTCAACAAGAGGCACTAAGGTCAAAGATTTCCATGGCCGATTCAGAAGCAGTGAAGACAGCTGCATATTCCACAGCCTACCTCAACTCATCTCCCCACCTTTACAATTATATACACTAAAGGCCTCCAGTCACCTAGGGAAGACCTCCTGAATCAAATTTTACTTTTCAGTCTCCTTCATTCGCTAACAAATCTATCATTAAATTTGGTTATTTATTCCCTCAAAAAGTCTCAGATTTTCCCTTTTCTCTCCATTTATTCATTCAACATTTACCAAATACCTACTCTGCCTCCGGTATTACACTGTATACTGGGAATGCAGGGATGAAAGACAGTCCCTGCTCTTGACGAGTACTTTCTACTCAGAAAGAAAGACAAGAAAATCACCAATAACCATATTATACTATGCAGAGATATGCACAAAGTGCCATGGGAACACAGAGGAGGAAGATTAACTCAGACCAGAGAGATTAGGAAAGACTTCTTAAAACAGGTAATGTCTGAACTGAAGCCCAGTAGGTAATAGTGAAGGTGAGAGTTTGAAGACACAGGTAATGACATTTGCAAGACTATCAAGCCAAGAAAAAGCATAGCATTTTTGGAAATTATAAATACTTCATTATGTTTGGAGTGAGTTAGAGGGAGTGGCAAGAAATGAAACTAGGAAGGGTAGGCTGAGGCTAGGGAGGTAGAAAGGTGTCAGATCAAGAAGGGCCTGGTATGTTATAAGGAGAATGTGAACTTTAGTTTGGAAACAGAAAGTGTATCTATCTTCTTCACTGTTATATTCTCAGTACCTAGCACAGTGCCTGACACATAGTAAGTACTCCAAAATATGAAGAGAGAAAAGGAATAATGAATGAGTGCTTAATTGATTATAGGAAGGCACTGAAGAATATTAATCAGAATATGATCAAATCTATAGTTGAAACCATTCTTTTAGACACTGCTGATAGAAATGTCAATCAGTACAGCTTAGTATCAAATCCTAAGCTGAACATTTACATACCCTCTAACCCAGGAATTCCACAAGAAAAACCCTTGCTACGTATAACTGGAGGCATGTATAAGAATGTTCACAGCAGCACTATTCATAGTAATAAAAGCCTGGAACAACCCAAATGGTCATTATCAGAAGAGAATATGCTATAGTATATTCACACAATGGACTATTACACAGAAATCAAAATTAATAAAGTATAGTGACATGCAATAATATGCATGGATCTTGACAATAAGCTATTAAAAAAGCTTACATATAGCGCAAAGATTACATATAGCGCAAGTATCTTACAAATGTAAATACAAATAAAATGTACATTTATATATATTATGTAATAATATATATAAATAATGGTATGGTATCTGGGATTTGCTTCTAAATAATCCACAAATGGAAGGAAGGGGCCTGGATAGATTGACCGCTTGTTGATAAATGTTGAAGCTAGATGGTAAGTACATAGGGATTCATATTTTTTCCATGTTTTATGTGTTTGAAATTTTCCATAATAAAAAGTACTTTATTATATGAAGTACAATTAAACTATATAAGAAGGAAGGAAGGATGAACCTAGGAATCAGAATGTCCTTACCATAGGTGGAACTGGGATTGATTATATTATTAAAACTTACTGAGTAAATAAATAAAAGTGGGCCACGAATGGACCATTGATGAGAGGATGTCATGAGCCAAGGATACGATTTATCAAATTCTGTATACAAGAGGTACAATTAAAAATAATGTTAGTAACATTAAGAAAACTTATTCTAATAGTAATGTGGAAGAAGATGAGAAACAGATAAAGCTGAAGTCAAGAGACCGGTTAGAAAACCAGCACAGTAATTCAGGTGAAAAATAAAAAGAAACTGAATCGGGCAACATCAGTAAAGAAGAAGAGTTAAGAGCTTTTGAGAAAGATTTACAAGAATCATTAGGATTAGGTGCTAGGGCACTTATTATTATCTGGCAATTATATAGTTTTTTCCTACTCAGCTTTCTTTCTGTAATGGCTACTTACAAGTATTCTACTCTCCCTATATCTCAGAACCACTTCCTCTTTCCTCTCTCATTCACCCCTGCAGAGACAATAAAACCATTACATGAGCATGATACTTCATCAGTTCCGCACCAAATCTATACATTCATCTACATAAGCACCCATCACTTACTTCTCCCTCCTCTCCCTTCTACCCCTCCTCATTCTCAAGAAGCTTATGTTACCAATTCTCTCCTGTCTTTTCAGCCTCTCCTGTACTGGCTCCTCCTTTTTACCATCCCTGAACCTCACTGCCCCTCTCCCAGTTTCATATTCCTTTCCTGTCACTGCTAAACTCTTAATAATTGTTTACATTCATTGCATCTATTCCCATTATCCTCAGTTATTCCTCACCCCGATGACTCCACTGAAATGGTTCCCCATCCATACCCATAACTCCATCTTTCTCGCCCTCTTTACTACATTTGACGGAGGACCCTTGCCACTTCTTGTTCCATTCTGTTCTCTGGTTTTCATG